GGGAACACTGGGAGCACCAGGATATACTGGGAGCACTGGGCATACTGGGAGCACTGGGAACACTGGGAGCACCAGGATATACTGGGAGCACTGGGAGTACCAGGCTATACTGGGAGCTGCTGGATAGCAACTGGGAGCCACCAAGGGCAACTGGAGGTGCCAGGGGTCTTTGATGGGGGGGTCTGTGAAGGTCCGGGGATGTCCCCCCCCCTTTTTCTCCCCATTGGTACCCCAATTTTGGGGGTCTCCCAAGTGCCCCCCTCCCCCCCCCCCAATTTTGGGGTCTCCCAGGTTCCCCTCTCTTTTGGGGTCCCCCTTTCCCCCCATTCTGGGGATCTCCCAGGTTTCCCCCGCAATTCGCAGGTTCTCCCCCCATTTTGGGGTCCCCCTTCCCCCCCATTCTGGGGGCCTCCCAGGTTTCCCCCCCCCATTTCGGGGTCCCCCCAGCCTCTCAGCGCTCTGTGGGGTGGCATCTCTTTATTCTGGGGGTGCCGTGCCCCCCGTCCCGCTCCGGGGGGCTCAGGGGAAGGTGATGGTGGCCAGGGGGGGCTCCGGGGGGGGGTCCCCGCGGCCGGGGGGCTGCCGGGGCCCCCCGTGGTGCCCGTACTGGAACTTGAGGCGCAGCTCGCCCAGGCGGGAGCGCGGCAGGATGTCGGGGATCCACTCGATGGTGAAGGGCGTGGGCTCCTTCTGCGTGGGGGACGTGTGGCCTGGGAGGGACAGGGCTGCCTGGGGACCCCCCTCTGCCCTCCCCTGCAGCCCCCCAACCCCTTTGAACCCCCCTCTGCCCTCCCCTGCAGCCCCCCAACCCTTTGGAACCCCCCTTTCCCCATCCCTTGAAGCCCCCCAACCCTTTTGAACCCTGCCCCTCCTGGGGCTGTTTTGGGGTCCCACCCTGCCCTTTCTGGGGAGATTCTGGGTTTCCCTCCTGCCCTTTCTGGGGCTGTTTTGGGGTCCCACCCTGCCTTTCCTGGGGCTGTTTTGGGGTCCCACCCTGCCCCTCCTGGGGCTGTTTTGGG